ATATAGCTTTCAGGCTGTAGAAACCATTTTTAAGGGTGTGTCAAGCCCTATCAGAAACATTATCCAAACCTATTTTCAAGAGCTTTACAACACTCCAGAAGACAGGCTTCAGGTACAGAAGGATCTGGACAGACTTGAACACTGGGCACTAACTAACAAAATGAAATTCAATGGTGAAAAAAGCAAGGTTCTACATTTAGGCAAGAAAAACCAAATGCACAAGTACAGCATAGGTGGCACCATGCTCAATAGTAGTAACTGTGAGAGGGACCTCGGAGTCCTAGTAGACAATCAGTTAAATATGAGCCAGCAGTGTGCGGCAGCTGCCAAAAAGGCCAACACAGTACTAGGCTGCATTAACAGAGGGATAGAATCAAGATCACGCGAAGTATTAATACCACTCTTCAATGCCTTGGTAAGGCCACACTTGGAATACTGCATCCAGTTTTGGTCACCACGATGTAAAAAAGATGTTGAGACTCTAGAAAGAGTACAGAGAAGAGCAACAAAGATGATTAGGGGACTGGAGGCTAAAACATATAAGGAACGGTTGCGAGAATTGGGTATGTCTAGTTTAACGAAGAGAAGGACAAGGGGGGACATGATAGCAGTATTCCAATATCTCAGGGGCTGCCATAAAGAAGAGGGAATTAAGCTATTTTCCAAAGCACCTGAAGGCAGGACAAGAAGCAACGGGTGGAAACTAATCAAGGAGAGAAGCAACCTAGAACTAAGGAGAAACTTCCTGACAGTGAGAACAATTAATCAGTGGAACAGCTTGCCTCCAGAAGCAGTAAATGCTCCAACACTGGAAGTTTTTAAGAAGAGACTGGACAGCCATTTGTCCGAAATGGTGTAGGGTTTCCTGCCCGAGCAGGGGGTTGGACTAGATGACCTCCAAGGTCCCTTCCAACTTTACTATTATTATTATTATTATTATACATGCCTTAGTGAATTGCCAGAATAACCTCAGGATAGAATTATTTGACCATTCAGAGACTGGGACAAATTCAAATTATCATTCAACTACCATATTTTGTCCCTAGCAGGCTGTCTTTTAATAACATAAGTAAGAATAGTCAAATAAACATAACTTAGGGAACTTTTATTTTCACTGCTCAGGATATTGGGAAGCCTTATTTTGTAATAGCTCAGGCAGATACTGAAACAGATTCACTTGAAATATACTTGATCAAATTACCCAAGATTATTAATTGTTCAATTTGGATTTATCTCTGGTGTGTTAGGACAGGGCCACAGCATGCCAGAAACCGGGCCGCGCAAACAAGCAAAGCCCCATCCGCAGGATGCAGGCAGTACATGGCTCCCTCCAGTCCACAGAAAAACTTCACTCCATGGAATCGGTCCCTGGAGCTAAAAAGGTTGGGGACCTCTGTGTTAGGATGCTTCTCTCTAAATGTCCTCAAATATTAAGATTCCTGATAGGTTTAACCAGCTAAATCTGCTTAAGTTCCGTTAGCAAAGCTACAATTTTATTTGTATTTTTAAAACCATTTCTGACTCCTGTGCACTGGCTACTTTAATAAACGTGCTATATTAGAAATTAGAAGTGATAAAATAAATATAAAACCTAATGTAAAGAGTTGTCTTATCCACATAAAACTTTCTTTTCTACAGACGCTTTTCTTAGCTCTGAATATTTATGTGTTTTTAACCTGACATTTATTAATTGTTGTAAATTACAGGAGTGATGTCTAAACTATATGACACAGGGCTGTCACATTTCACACAGTTGGAGGTATAAATGCTGTTTTTTTCTATCACACAGATATTTAACACAATACTCCTCAGTCTGGTGTATTTTTATAAGCTTGATTCAATTATGATAGTTTCCTACTGCACAGTTTCAACTAAGTTTGAGTAACTATTATAAAATATCTTACAAGAGAAGCAGGCCAATTAAAGCTTTCATATCACCTCAAAGTATGCACTAAAAGAGTCAAGTAATTACTAAATTCCTTGCTGTTGGCATCTATATTTCTTGTGTTAAAAAAAAAACAAAGAATAACAATGCTTACAGCCTGTTAAACTAGACCAGCGGTTCTCAACCTATGGGTCGCGATCCCATTTGCGGTCGAACGACCATTTCACGGGGGTCACCAAACAACGCAGTCTGCCATTTTTTCCCCCTTTTCCTTAGCTGTGCTACTCCCTCTTATTCTATTGGCTTTTGAAAGCCAATAGAATAGACTCTTTTGAATAGAGTCTAATTCTGTTGCAGTGGTTCTCAACCTTTTTAATGCCGCGACCCCAACCAGTCGTAAGTCGAGGACTACCCAACCGGTCATAAGTCGAGGACTACCCAACTGGTCGTAAGTTGAGGACTTTCCCTGACTGGGAGCACCACGCATGCGTGGTGCCACCCCCTGCGCCGGCCGAGGCGTAGCTGGAAAGCGGCAGAGATTGAGCAGGCCGACCACCGGCTGGGCCACCAGCTGGCCCAGCCCAAGGAAGGTAAGGCACCCGCCGGGCCCCACGCGCGCCAGCAACCCTCCCTGCACCCGCCGGCCTCCCACCTCCCACCCCTGGCCCTCTTTTACTTACATTTTTAGTAGTTGCTTAGCAGGGAGGGGTGGAAACTTCCAGACAGCTCGCCTTCACTGCAGACAACCTCCAGCACCGTTTGCAGAATGGGACTTTTGGCTGGCTCAGCAGGGCAGAGACAGCCTGGACAATTCCTATTGGCTTTTGAAAGCCAATAGAATTAGACTCTATTCAAGAGAGGGGGAAAAATGGTGGACTGCATTGTTTGGCAACCCCGTGAAATGGTCGCTCGACCCCAAATGGGGTCACGACCCACAGGTTGAGAACCGCTGTTCTATTGGCTTTCAAAAGTCAATAGGAATTGTCCAGGCTGTCTCTGCCCTGCTGAGCCCACCAAAAGTCCCAGTCTGCAAATGGTGCTGCAAGTTGTCTGCAGCTAAGGCGAGCTTTCTGGACATTTCCACCCCTCCCTGCTGAGCTACTACTAAATGTAAGTAAAAGAGGGCCAGGGGTGGGAGGTGGGAGGCCGGCGGGCGCAGGGAGGGATACTGGCACGCATGGGACCCGGCGGGTTCCTTACCTCCCTTGGGCTGGGCCAGCTAGTGGCCCAGCCAGTGGTTGCCCTGCGCCCTCGCTGCCACGTGCCATGGCCGCCCAGGAGCACCTGGGCCTGCCTGCCACCGCACCAAATGTGCGGTGGCCAAGGTAAGGCTAGCAAGGCAGCGGCGGGCGCAGGGAGGGTTGCTGGCGTGCGTGGGGCCCGGCGGTTGCCTTACCTCCCTTGGGCTGGGCCAGCTGGTGACCCAGCCGGTGGTCGCCCTGCGCCCTCGCTGCCATGTGCCATGGCCGCCCAGGAGCGCCTGGGCCTGCCTGCCACTGCACCGAATGTGCGGTGGCGAAGGTAAGGCTAGTGGGGCAGCGGCAGGCACAGGGAGGGTTGCTGGCACGCGTGGGCCCGGCGGGTGCCTTACCTCCCTTGGGCTGGGCCAGCTGGTGGCCCAGCCGGTGGTCGGCCTGCTCAATCTCTGCTGCTTGCCAGCTACACCTCAGCCGGCACAGGGGGCGGCACAACTCATGCACGGCGCTCCCAGGCCGAGGTGGTTGCTACGCGACGGCCTGCCCAGTGTGCGCTCCAGCCGCAGGAGAAGAGGTAGAGTGTGCATGCCTCCTCCTGCCCCACCCGCAGGGAAATACAGGTAGTCCTCGACTTACGACCACATGGTTGGGGGTCGCGGCATTAGGAAGGTTGAGAACCACTGAACTAGCCATAAGATTAAGCAACCTATGGCCCTAAAGATACATATTGCCCTTAGTTAAATTACATATGACCTTGTCCTATCAAAAGCATTTCCAACCTTGAAATGTGAGAAAACTGAAACAGTTTTAGCAATAATATCTTAAAGGGCTCAGCATTCAGTAGTTTAAAATTAACAAAATACTTAGTGGATAAAAAACATTGTCTCAGCAATCAAATCAGATTATAACCCTTTCATATTTCTTTATAATTATAAAAAAGTAAACTTTTCCATTTGCTGATTAATTGATTAGTGAGATCCATCCATGTATAAGCACGCTTACATGAAGTACAATTACATTACCCATATGTTATTGTAACAATTTTCAAGTGAACCTTATCTCTATCTTTCTTATTTTTGAGCTGTTTACATTTACTGAGTGGGTGCTAATATCTTCAGGAGGTATCTTAAATTGTTTATAATCTTTGAGATTATCATAGATAAGATGAAGCAGAGACTAATTTTCTGTAATGCAAGTTGTATACATAAAAAAGACAAATAGACTCACACAAGAGATATGCATTTAACGTCTTGTGCTCCTTGTATGGTATTACCACATATGTATTTTACTACTATATTTTCTTTTAACTATTTTATTGCAGAGTAAGATTATGTATTTTTTTATTTTATTGATAAGATCATAAGACTAATCACTATTCTATTCTACAAGAACATGTGGATGGTTTTCAATGCTTAATTATACAATAAATAAATGCTACAAAATAATACATTCTAGTTATTTTAAGTTCCATAATATCCCTATATCTTTCAGTGACTACATTCACAGATTATGATATGGTATTTTTAATCATAGTTTGTAAAATGTACTGAGTACATAGAAATTTTCTAGGGTAAAGGGCACATTTGGCCTTTAAGTGGCATACTGAACACTAAAAAAGCAGAATTACGTCCCTTTGTTACAATTATTAAAGCTTTGCATATTTTAGAATATCTTTTTTGTTTCTCAGTCCTATATGCAAGAAATAGAAAAGAGAACACATATGGAGCCAATACAATATTTACTCTATTTGAAAATCTGAAAGGACTCCATGTGATCCTTTATACACTTTAATTACCAGAGCAAATCTAAAATGCAAAATTAATGTTTTTAATATTTTCATTTAATTACAAATTTTTAAATTCTTTTTGGTACAGTATAGAAAAGCATAAACACACCCCAAAACAGGAAAACAATCTCACCCTGATGAACGGTGGTCTGGTTTATTTCTTTCTGAACGATCTAGAAGAAGAAAAAAAACATGTCCATAAAAAATGTTGATTTAGTTAGCTATCCTTCAGATGTGAATGTACTTTCAAGTGATATTTTTAAAAGCTAGATTTTACTTTCTAGGGGATACTTTGCCTGAAAGAAATAAAAACATCTGCAGAGGATATTTAAGCGTATCATTCAGAAATACTTTCTTTATGTTTGTTAAGTTTGTTTTTTATGTTTAACAGATGCTGTCCTCTTTTAAAAACCCAACAGTTTTCCAAAGAATGTAGCAGAGGAATGGAAAAGAAAACCACAGAATTAGTCAGCGCCTAAGAATCATTTCATGAATCACAGCTGGCAGACCCTAGGAAAGGATGGGAGAAATACTCAGTGGCAGTAACAGTTCCTACAAATAACGACTATATTTCTATTATGCCATTCTGCATGATCTTCTGGAATTAGAGGCATCTAAGCCTTTCTTTGTTCTTTATCCACAAAAGTGTTATTAGTACTTATTTTCTTTTTAGTAAGGAGACTGCCACGTACTGGGCAAGATGACTTGAACATTAGTTATATTTATAAATCATACTATACTAGAAAACACTTTGGAGTTTTAAAAATACAATGAATCTACTGTATATATAATCAAAATATAAACAGTTCCCCAAGACAGATCATTTCCTCTGCAAAATATAGTATTCTATGCTACTTTTCACATTTTTTTTCTCTTCCATAAAATCCTGTCCAATTTTCAGAGGCTGCCTGAACAAGTCTCAGCAGTTTTCTTGTCAAGGTTTTTCAGAAGTACCATTGCTTCCTTCCCACGGCTGAAAGAAAATGATTGGCCTAAGGTCACCCGGCTGGCTTTATGTTTCCCTGTCTCCAACCTGATGCCTTAATCACCACACCAAACTGTCTCTCACAGGAAATTTACAAATACAGCTATTCAAATATTAAAACACATAAATATTACCAGTACAGTAATCTGCGCTAAATCTTATTACAAGTATTTCCATTAACCTTTCTTTTTTACTTTTTATAGCATATGTAAACTATGTATTGCTTTATAGCTTTATAACTGCTATATAAATAAACATATAGTCCCCTTTCCATATATAAAGATTTTTCCAAAAGAGTACTTTAAGTTATAGTATCTGGAACCATATAAAGGTCTTATTTCATGTTATAAGCTGCCAAACTAGGTTAAAATACTTTTAATACAATTTTTTACACTGTAACATCATGCTTAATAAACAGAATATTCTCACGTGTTTCATTTCTTGTATTGCTATTTTGTCAAACTATGCTGTAGTTTTTAATCTATACATCCTTTTTCTATTCTGCAAGCAAAAGTACCTACTGGTGTCTATTCCTAGCAACTGATGCATGACAACATAGCAACATAAATAATTAGCACTAAAATGATATTTGAAAAACAAAGTCAACATTCAAGATATAACCTTAAGAAGTCATCTTTTACATTTTTTTCTGTTTTCTGTCTTCTACTTTCCTTTACTATTTTTTAAAAACTTTTTATATTTTTCTTAGATTTTTTATCTATTTGTAAAGTTTTAATAAAATTAGTTTTTTAAAAAAGCTTTCCATAGTGAAATATAAGAAAAAATGTCTTTTCTTTCTGTCTTCACAACCTGGTAATTACCATACCTGAAATTACAGAGGAGCATACAATCCTTTCCTTTCATGTTGTAGAAAGTAAACTTTTATGGTCATTCATACAGACGTTTAGCAGAATGAATCAAGACATTTTCGAATTGTACAACACCAGAAATGAGAACGAGAAATCACAAAACATGTAAACAGCATTCAAAATTATCCCTCTAAGGAGTCTTCTGATTGGCGGTTATACTGTAGCCAATCTCAGAACTGGAATGCTGTCATTCAGGAAGTGAATGTTATTCCATTTTTCCCCTTTTTTTCTTTGTTTAAACAGGAAATAGTTTGCTGGACTTGCGTAATTTACTGCTTAAAACATTACCCCATAATGATAGCAAAACTTTTAAAGTAAGAAACTTTTTAAAAAGACTGATACGTACTAATCTTATTTTCAATAAATATTTTCAATTTTTTTTAAAAAAAGAAACATTTTATTCTAGTTTAAACAGGATTATTAGTCAGTGAAAGTAAAGTCTATTAGCTTTCTTAGTCCCACAACATAGTTCTACATATATGGGGAGGAATTATTAGGAAAAGGTTAGAAAAAAAGACTCAAAACATGAAACTGGTGTTAGGCATTTAAAATATTTTTCCAGATTTTGTTTGCCAAAGAACTACATCAGAGGTAATATTATTTGCAAGAATGTTAGCATCCAGCTCCAGATTTTAAAACAGTGTTGTTTGCAGATTATAATAAATAGAGATGGATGTTAACATATATAAAATGCAATAGCTGTAGCAGGGAAGTGTTGGACAAGGAGTAAGAACACATAGTTATAGCTAATTGATTAAAGACAGCTGGCCACTGACAACCTAAGCTGTGATTGGCTGCTGTGAAGGAAAGGGGGGAGTTTCCTTGCCTTTTTTCCTCTGGATACTATGTGTGCTCTCTATGATTTACCTGATGGTGTTCCTGCTGTGTGGATTTACCTGACTATGCTCCTGTTTTCCTCTCTTATTTGCCGTAAATATATTTATTTATATAAAGCCAAAAGTTCTTGTCAGTGTCTCTGACTCCATTTGGACATCGGCTGTGCAATTCCCTGACAATGGATATCTAGTTTTAGATAGTTTACTTGCACTTAGTAATATATTAATACATGTTTGGCAGAGCACCCCGAAGTTAGGAATTTTCCAAGCTACTATTCAATAATGCAGCCCGCACAGTGCAAGTGAATCCAAATGCTATGACCACCGGGCCAATCCTCCAAGCAGCAGGCAAGGGCACAGGGGGAGACACGCGATCCCACCTGCCAAACATGACATGCAGCCGTCTGCTCCGCTGCGGCCACGGGCAGGCAAAGACAGATGATGAGATGGAGTGGGGGGGGGAACACAGTATATCTGGATTGCATGCCTCCCCCCGCATCTCTGCCTTTATCTGCTGCTTGGAGGGCCAGCCCAGTGATCGCTGCCCTCTGACTCACCTGCACTGCGTGGGCTATATAGCCCCAGAGTGCACAGCCAAGGGGCCAGTGGACTGAGGCTGCTGCCTGACACCATCAACCCCAGCGCACTTGCTGTCTCTTGTGTGCATGCCGGGGGTCCCCCAGCTGGGCTGGGTTGGGGCCAGGGCAGAGGGGACTGGTCCCTCACCATCTCCAGGGCAGCCCCGCGAGCTAGATATGGGCCCATTGTGGGCTGGATACAGTCTGCGGGCATTGTGTTTGACATGTCTGCTGTACATGAAAAAAATAAGACATCACCTGAAAATAAGCCCTAATCACTGAGCAAAAATTATTATAAGACCCGATCTTATTTTGGGGGAAACACAGTATTAGTTGTAATTCTTTGTTGCATAGGTCTCTAATTTTATCCCTTCATAAGAAAAGAAAATGATCATTTTACTATGGTATACTAAGAACATGATCTAAATTTGTTTTCTGCCTCATCAAAAAATTAGAAGAATGCAAGCTGTAAATGCACGGAATTAAATCTTGTTTCTCCAGATGTTTCACACCATATTCAAGAACTTGCTTAGAACAGAAGATCAGAGTCATAACATGCTAGCCAAGTTATTTTATTGCAGACAAGTCAGAAGCCAAACATGCACAGAAGATTTGCCTATTGAACAAAGCACAAATCAGTCTTTATATATACACTGGGGTAAAGGTTTAAATCCTAGCCCTTTTTAACCTGAGTTTTTAGGTCAATAAAATTTGGCCATTCTCTTACCTTGAAATCAAGACAGATCCACTCAGTATTTATGTATTGGTTCTGTTTATCCTCAGAACCATTTGTTTCCACGCTCCCAGATTTAGCTCTTTCATTATCATTATTGTTTACGATGCTTTTACTGATAGTCCTTGACTAACAATCATTCATTTAACCATTTTTCAGAGTTACAACCAGTGGTAGGATTCAGCTGGTTCGCACTGGCTCGGCAGAACTGATATCTAATTTTTTATTGAGTTCGGCAAATCGGTTATGATAAACCTGTGTTTTCCAGAACACATCTGGTTTTCGTTCAACTTCCTTCCAGGCGGGGAAAAAACCCTCCCCAAAAGTCCAAGAGAGGAGCGATGGAAACCAAATGGAGACGCAGCGCCTTCGATCATGTCACTCAGGTGAAAACTGGGTGGTGCTTCTCAGAGGTAATTTTAGGAATAGATGCTTCATCTCTCTAGTTTCCTGATTGGTGCATATGGGAGAGGGGGCAAGGCCACCAAGTATTAGCAGGATTTGTGGCTCTGGAACTTTTTCCTGTCTAGCTGTATAGAGCGCAACTAATGATGAGTGGAAAAGCTCTTAAAGCAGTGGTTCTCAACCTTTTTAATGCCGCGACCCCCAACCGGTCATAAGTCGAGGACTAAACTGGTCATAAGTCAAGGACTAAATGGTTGTTAAGTTAAGGACTACCCAACCGGTCGTAAGTTGAGAACTTTCCCTGCCTGGGAGCGCCGCACATGTGTGGTGCCGCCCCCTGCGCTGGCCGAGGCGTAGCTGGCAAGCGGCAGAGATAGAGCAGGCCGATCACCGGTTGGGCCACCAGCTGGCTCAGACCCAGAGAGGTAAGGCACCCGCCAGAAAAGGGGAAAAAATAGCAGACAGCCTTGCTTGACGACCCCCGTGAAATGGTCGATCGACCCCAAATGGGGTCGCGACCCATAGGTTGAGAACCGCTGTCTTAAAGGGTTCTGTTCTGAGAACCGGTTGTTAAATTATTTGAATACAAATATTTGTATTTTTAGTACTGATTACAACAGTACTGAAAAAAGTGACTTATAATCCAGTCCTTGTACTTAACAACTTTTGCAGTGTTTGTGTAGTCATGTGATCAAAAATTGGGCCTTTGGCAACCAACATATATTTATGATGATTGTAGCATCTCAGATTGCCATTTTCAATCTCCT